AGTGAAGTAAAAAGAACTAAAAAAGCAAAACCAAATGAAATTTCTCTCCTATAGGTTGGTTGGTTATAATAAAAATAACTATATTATATGCAGGATTTACTGCCGATAAGCAGGACCAGGCCAACCCTATCATATCAGGAAAATGAAGAGAACATGAAAAAGTTTTTAGTTTAGTAAAAGAGTTTTACAGAGCTCGCAACTGCACAAGGTCATATATGAGTGCGCAAAACACAAGTTGGTTGCATTCACAACAGTTTACAGCACGGCTTGATTTCGATCAATGAAATATTAAAAATTCGCTGTGAAAATGTCAACACGAAAAAGGTAAAATGACCTGCCAGTCTCCAAACCTTCAAACACTGCGTACCTTCTTCCATCTTTTCCTACAAGAATACAAATGATCCAGAGCATAGATTACCGTAGCCTCATGATGACAGAAGCATTAACAATCTTTTAAAGGAATAATAAATACTACAAATTTTGAATGAGCTAACAGGAAAAGAACCAACTTGTGCCTCACATTCTAATATGACCTTACGCAATTGCGAGCTGCGTAAAACTCTGATCATACTAAATCGTTCAATACTGTACTGAAATGGACCCGTCCCTTCCTCATTGTACATGAATATCTTATCTATAAACTTTTATCATAAACTCCACTAACATCTGTCACTGTATCTGCATTGCATGGGAATCATTTTAAAAATCTTAAGAACTAAAAAAACCCAACAAAAAACAAAGCATTGGTGGCAAAGTATGTTAAGCGCCGGTACATGATCCAGGATATAACTCCAGCATGCTTTTCTGCCACCTTTTTCCTTGGGAAAACTGTGATCTGAACTCAGTTCTTTAAAGTGACTGTAAGTATTTATTGTTCACAGGCTTGGTATTGAAGTTCAGTAAAACTGCAGGGAATCCTCCACTTACGGAATATGGGACGGGTGTGGGCTTGTCAATCAAGTCTTAAATTTTTGCAGGATTTCAGTCAAACTCCTCATCTCTCGCTAGTCTTGTTAAAAGAGAAGCCTGCTGGTGACACTTTCTAGACACTCTCATAGCGAGGTGTATTCAAATGTGAAGTATGTATGTAACATTCTTCATCTTCTGCCATCCTTTCAAGTAGACCACTACTATCTTTCATGCATCAAACACAAAAGTTGGCACAAAAATAAATTAAAAAAAAATTACACATGCATAACCAAAAAGGCAATAAAGAAAATAGATAAATAATTATGAACAGTGCGGGAGGCAAAAAAGATTTAAAACACTTGCAAACTTCATTGGACACCCTAAAGTGTTAGAACTACTAGACTATGAGCTCGGAACATTTGGATTTTCTAAACACGATGAAAAACAGAGGATTCACACAACTGAGAGAGCAAACATTTTTGAGCATTTCTACAAGTCACACTAGAAACACACTGTGAATGCCTCATGCTCAGAATGTCTATACAGCTCTACAAACACACTCACACAATGTGTCCAGTGCCAGTCAACAATTTGAAAATCTTTATCGGCAGAAAGGAATACATTCGCCCTTACGTGAGAGGTGTAACTCTCATGAAGTTGAAAATGACTTTCACTTTATTTTCTATAGTACAAATTGTGTTCATCAAAGGAAACTGTTAATTCCTCCCAGCCTGACTCGGCCCAGTGACAGAAATATGCAATGTTTGACCCATGATAAGAGATTGATATGAACAAATGAGTGTTTTATATGATGTGATGTGGCCTTAAACACTGAATAAACTTACAACAATTTGAAATGAAAAAAATGAGATGCTGACTGGCATGATGACACAGCGGAGAAGAAGCATGACAACGACTACAGCCCAACCTGCTGTAACAAAAATCTGTCCA